GTGAGGCACAGCATGTAAAAACCAGCTAGCTGATTTTGATTTCAACGTGCTTTTGCCTCTGGTTGTTGAAGTCATTGAGAAGCAATGGCCCTACACGACATATCTGCCGCTGTGTCACCACCGCTGGGCACGGGCTGAGATCCCGGACCTCTGGTCCAGCCGTATTGTTGGAATACGGATGCAAATCGGGTGCTGCTTGGAGATTGCTGCAATGGAACCGTTGCTTTTTTTCTCCGATTTGTACGAGTGGAATAACAAGTTCCGTCTTTGGGGATGGTGATATCAGCCGTTGAAAGTTAATTCAGAAAAGAATTCAGAAGCTTAGCCTAGCCAAGGGAAAGACGGTGAGATGAGAGACAGGCGAAACGAGAGACAGCGTCAAGCTAAGCGGCTATACGGGACGGTAGAGCAAAACAGACGGCGTTCGTGGTCGCCAAGAAAGGTGTGCGATCTTCCATGACCCGTGCAAGTGCTTCGATAGCATCTGCACGCAGCAGAATCTTGTTGCTGAGGGAGACTGAGGGTTCAGCATGCCGGGCCTAGGATTGGGGCAATCACGCGTGGCCAATCCTTCCGGCTGTGCTTTTCTTCTGCGTTCCCTTGGACTTGGTGCCATTTTCCCGCGTTATCAGTTGACCTGACGTGTCGATCTTGGACCCAATCGCGTAGCTTCTTGTTTGACATGCATCGTGGCAATAATAGTGGCTTGGGAGGACTGGCCAAGCAATAATTCCTCACTGTGTAACTTGAGCGTTGCCGCAGCCGAGGGAAGCGGGAGAACAGAGACGGCGTCCCCTGTCCGTCACTTTGACAAGCATTGGCAGTTTGTGCAACTTGGGCCATCCGATCCTAACGGGCGCCGCGGAAAGAAGCGTCTCGACTTTGTGGAGTACAGATGGGAAATGGCGCATAGCTGAAGTCAATGATGTCAAAGTTGCTTCCGGTTATCAGCAGCCTTGAATCACGCGTCTCGGGGGACGCTGTCAGCGACGGGAAGCAGAGAAGGGTTGACAATTTGGAGGGCTTGGTTAGCGCGCTGTGCAGGGTGTACCTGGGGTCGCGGAAGTGGCAGCTGGAGCACCGAGGCGATCAAAAGATCTGGCACAGGGATTAGCAGGCAGGGTGCGACGGACAGCTGCTGGCCAAGCACCATGGCGGCCCATATGCCGATAAGATGAAGGTTGTATCGGCAGCTTACCTTAAGTTGAACCAGGGTGCCTCAGCATGGTGTGGCATTCGGGCCACCTGAGAAACCAAGGGGCCGTCATGATGGTCCGTAGTCGTGTTCGGTGGGGTGGATCAATCGTATTCTAGGGCGAGTCCATGACGATTAGCGATAGGTTTCCAGGCGGGGCTTCACTCCGTCGTCGACTTGTTGGTTGCAGGCTTGATTTTCCTCATTTAACTGTACGAAGTACAGCACGAGAGCCGGGCAACGACTAAGGCGTAGTAGCAGTGATGAAGCCAGACGCTGCACCAGACAATGTTGTTGCGTGTTGAAGCCCGCAAGCTCAGCCGGAAGAAGAACAGGGTTCGGGGTGTGTGTTTGAATTGAGGCGTCTTGTCCATTGACTTCGGGCTTCATCTGAGCATCAGTACCATCATCTCGAGTTGTGTCGGTTTGACTGATAGGTTTGACTGATAGGTTTGACTGTCCCGGCGGGACAAGACGAGCGGAGCGAACGGGCCGGGTTTTCGGACTTATTGCTCTAATGAGGCACCGCTCCCTGAATAGAACAGGACGGCGACTGTCGAATGGAGGGCACTCGGACACGGACTCGAGCCTTCAACGAGGCGGAGACTTCAGAGAGATCAGAGTCAGTCCATCCCTTTCATCGTTGGTGGGAAGTCCAGTTTCGAAGCAGGATACTCCGTACGAATAGCGGACTGATAGCGGCTGCTCCCCACTGCGGGTACTATTCTGACCGCGAAGGGATGTGTCCGTATGCTGGTTCCTGAATCAAGCAAGTCTGGGTGGTTCCAAGTCTTTGCTGAGATGGACCGAGTGAAGTTGTTGCCCCCCTCTCCTCCGAGGATTGATGGTGCTAATGCAAGGCGATGGAGGATGTGCAGTGGTAGTAAGCGCATGGTGCGGCAGGTAAGGTGCCCTGCCCGCCCTGCGAGTCGCGTCTGCAGCAAGGTAAGGTAGGCTATGTGCTATGTAGGTAGGTAAGTAGGAACTTGGATGCAAGCGGGACGAACTTAAGGTACTGTAAGGAAGGTCACTTGCGTGGAAGAGCAAGTGCAGCTCAAGGCTGCATCTGTACGCAATACATGAGTTAACGTACCTACATCTGCATAGTAAGGCACTGAGAGCAGGAGCTGCATCCCGTCCCCATCTCCATCCTCCGACTATTTTTGATGGTGTGAAGAGAGGGACAAGAGGGTGCGATCCGGCCGGCGCTAACAAGAAAACGACTCGCATCTCTGGGCATCTCAGGTATCCTCCAGAGTGCTTCCCATCGGCTAGGGCGTTGTTCCCCTGGCTGGCTTGGCCAGGCCTGACCTGAACATGAAGACGGTCAGGGTACGTATCTCGTCATTCAGGGTGCACCCTCCAACGCCTCTCCCAGTCGCCTCGATTCGCCCGATTGTTTCTTCCAACTACATGACATGCCGGGTTCTCTTGTCGCGTCCGAGATGAAGACGTATGCCTGGCCCTTCCATCCACACAAATCTGTACGCACACATGGACTCTCACACCCACATCGGCCAACGCCAACTGCTTGTACCTCAACCAACGCAAGACACCAACCCCACCACCGCGGCCCTGACTACAGCGACCGGTCCATCCCATGTCACCGTGCGCCCACTGTTGCTCTGGCAGTCACGCAGCTACCTAGGCACCTACGGCGGTATGTATGCGCATACGCAGTACAGTACAGTAGCTCTGCTTCGTAAGGTACTGAGCCCCCCGCAAGCTCAAGCTCAAGCTCCAGCTTCGTCAAGCCCGACTGCTTTGCGGATTCGTCTTCATGTCGTGGGACAGGATACCTGCTAGTCCAGGGATTGGATTGCGCCAATGCTTATTCCCACGAGCCGTCGCCTGCCTCTTCAGTCTTGTCACGGCAAGAAATTATCTCAGCCGGCTGTCCCGTTCCTCTGGCCACTCGCTAAGATAGCGCCAACGGCCCCTTGGTCTGACAAGTCTCGCCGTCCAACTTTGCACTACAGCTGTCGTTGCATCCCGACCATCGCAGACACCTCAACCAGGTAGCTACAGAGGCACAAGCACAACCGTCCATGTACGAGAGGCACCGTACCACGCCTCCGCTCTACCCGGAAGAGCCCAAAAGTTCCCGATGGATGGACAGGCGTTCGGCGTGTACTCCGTACAGAGTACCTTGAGTCTCCTTCTGGACCTAGCACCGAAGGTCTACTTAGACTTGCCTGGCCTTAAACTTGGCTTTCGAGACACGGCAGCATGCGTCTTCCGAGCTAGTCTTCGACACCACCAAGACACGCCTCGCATGCTCGCAGTCCAGGCCTCTCCAATGTCATCTATCTGATGCCAAGATGTCGGAAACTGCACAATCGTCTCTCTCTGGAAATTTCTTGGGACGGAAAATGCGGCGGACGGAGTACGGCGACCATCCCATGCCGTCTGACTGCACCTTGACCAGCCTCGGCCTTCCATTCGCCAGCCCCGACAACCCATCCTCGACTCGGCAAGGTCTACCGCCATGACGTCGCCGTGTACCTGAGCGCTTCGGCCGAACTAGACCTGCAACTTGGAGCTCTGCTCTCTGCTTTGCTCTGCTCTGCTCCCTGGCCAGTCGTCTTGCGAGAGGGTGGGAGCTAGCAACCTGCCGAGGAACCGTTTTGCGCTACACTACCTGGTCTCCATCAAGGCTCAGACGACCTCGTTCTCGTAAGGCGTATGCAACTGCAGCAACTGCACCTGAGGCCGTCCAAGTCAGCTTGCTTCGACGAACTGCCCACTTATTCGCTGTTCGGCCATCTACTACAGGGTATCCCTCATCTGCAGAGCCAGGGATTCGCGCAAACACCTTGCTGTTGTAATCCTGCAACTTCTGCCTGATAGAATTTGTTTGTCTTGGAAGAGCCCTTATTGCATGGTGGCGTTCAATCGACCGCCCAATCATGCCTTCCGTATCGGCGTTCTCTACCTTTTCAAATCTGCTGCTCAGCGGACTGCTGTAACCTGGAAAAGCCGTAAAGCACTTATCCAAGCGTCTGGATATGGTCTCTCCTCTCTGTCTGCGTATCGGCCGCTAGACGGGTCTTCTGCATCTCCTAGAATCGCGCATTCTATGACCCGCTTCAACGGTCACGAACAACATGATCGTGCCGCCGCTGTCTCAGTCACATTGGATAGCGAGTGCTATCCGCATACCGCCCACTCTTCCGACGCTCATTCGTCTGAGGGTTCGCATGCCATGCTTCTGCCATGTCCACCTACCTGACGACCAACTCTACCTATGATCCTAGATACCATTGACAAGGTCTAGCCTCCCCCTCCTACTAGCTTGCTGCAGGCAACGGACATCCGGCCATGCAGCAAGCTGATACCAAGCTGTGGCTTATACGCCTGGCCACGACAAGACTGGAGTACCTGCCATGTGCGAGGCAGTCAGCACAACGCCGTATGTCATCTCAGCCGCCAGCCTACTCCTCCGGTGCCCGTCTCGCCCGAGCATCGATCGACTTGCCAAACCCAGGCCCGGTTCCATGTCAGAGCTCCAACTTTACCAACCAGCCGGGGCCGGCCGGAGTAGGAAGGTTGGTGTAGAACCATCTGCTCGCCTCCCGCTCTGGCCTTACCAGCCCATCGCGTGGCATTCTTTTATAACCATCATCTTCTTCCCTCCTCAGACCCTGATTTCAGAACCTCACTCCTCATCCCATCCGCCTCTCGCTTTCTTTGGTGTTTCCCCTTGCATACGCGCTTCCTTTCTCCACTCGTTCGTTGGAAGAGTATCCCCTAATCACTTAATACAACCTACTGGGCCTGGTCTGTCTAGTCAGGAACGCCCATCATGGTTCGATCTCTGCTCGCATTGGCTTTTGCCAACATTGCCCTGGCTGGAACGGTCACCTACAACTGGGAGGCTACCTGGGTCAACACCAACGGTGGAAAGAACGTCACGAGGCCTGTCATTGGTATCAACGGACAATGGCCTTGCCCCAAGATCGAGGCCAACGTTGGTGATACCATCGTCGTCCACCTGACCAACAAGCTTGGCAACCAGACGACCGGTATTCACTTCCACGGTATCGATCAGATCAGCACCAACTGGATGGACGGCCCCAGTATGGTCACCCAGTGCCCGCTGCCTCCCGACTCTTCCATGACCTACTCCTTCACCGTAAGTGGGAAATATAGCTTCATCAATGAACACAAGAACTAAGAACAAACAGGCCAACGCTGGCGGAACCTACTGGTACCACTCTCACAACATGGGCCAGTACCCTGACGGCATGCGCGGCCCCTTGATCATCCACGACCCCCAGGACCCCTATGCTGGACAATATGACGAGGAGTACCTCCTGACTGTCTCTGACTGGTGAGTTATATGCGCAGATCCTCTAGACGTGGCGCATCTAACACCATGCAGGTACAATGATCAGAGCATTCCCCTGGTCCAGAAGATGCTTGTGCCGTCCAACGCGCATTTCCAGCCGCCCATCCCTAATGGCATCATCATCAACGACGGCGCTACGGCCAACTACAAGTTCGAGAAGGGCAAGACCTACCGTTTCCGTGTCATCAACTACGCTGCCATCGCCTCCTTCATGTTGCACTTTGACTCTCACGATATGAACTTGATCATGATTGATTCGGCCTACATCAAGCAGAAGACCACCTACCAGATCCGCATCACTCCCGCCCAGCGCTACGACATTCTGATCAAGTGCATCGACCGTGACAACCGCAACTACCCCTTCCTCATCTCCGCCGACATCAACCGTGATTGGTCCAACAAGGCTCTTGACCAGTCCTGGCCCTTCAACGCCACCGGCCAGTTGGTCATGGACCAGAGCAAGCCCTTCGGCACCGATTCTGTCGCGGAATGGAAGCCCTCGGACGACTCCGTCTACGAGCCCTATGGCGACGAGGCCATCCTTCCTGACGCCACCACGACCATCCAGTTCAACTGGCAGTTCTGCTTCGACAGTGCCGGTATTCCCCGCGCCTGCGTGAACGGCAGCCCGTACGTCGACCAGAAGGTTCCCACCCTGTACTCCGTCGCCTCCACTGGTGAGAACAACACCAACCCTGCCGTCTACGGCGCCGTCCACCCCTTCGTTGTCAGCTATGGCGAAATCGTCGACATCGTCGTCAACAACAGGGATGAGGCCGTCCACCCTTTCCACCTTCACGGTCACCACTTCCAGGTCCTCAAGCGCCCTGCCTCCGGCACTGGTGACTGGCCCGGAGCCGACCGCGCTCGCCTGAACCAGAAGCCTCCCCGTCGTGACACCGTCTCCGTTATGGGCAACTCGTACGCTGTGCTGCGCTTCGAGGCCACCAACCCTGGCGTCTACCTCTTCCACTGCCACATTGAGTGGCACGTTGAGATGGGTCTGACTGCTACCATCATCGAGGCCCCTGAGATGCTCCGCAACCTTACTCTCCCTGATGACCACCGCGCTGCCTGCGCCAAGCAGGGCATTCCTGTTGAGGGCAACGCTGCCGGCAACACCGAGAACGTGCTTGACCAGACCGGCATGAACTTGACTCCCCCGGTCACCTATGTCGGGTAAGTCCATCCTCACCTTTCCCTTGCTCACTGGAAGCTAACCATACCCCACAGTTCCACCTACATCCCCGCTGCCGCCGCCGCCCCGGCCCCGGCCCCGGCTGCCAAGCTCCGCTCCCGCGTTGTCCGCAAGAGTCTCTGAGAATGAGGCCTCAAGCACCTATGGACATAATGCGACAAAAGCAACCCCACGCACATCTCTTCACTTCTCTTATTTCATATCCCGAATGAGTCTCCGTACCGTTCTTGTACATAGTACCCATGATAACCATGTGGATATGCAAGCCAAACCCCCTTTTTGTGTATTTTTCCTTTGTCCGGAAGAGAGAACAGGGCCTGTCAGTGGCGGAGTAATGTTGTAATCCCACCAATCCACTCCGTTACCTGGGGCGCATCTGGTAGATTGACAGACCTCTTTCTTATTGTAGATGATGGTGTGGAGTATAGGTAGATAAATAGTTGTAGACGGATAGTAATGAGAGGTGAGGTTGAACCTCGATTGTCGAGACTTGGTGCTTCGTTCGTGACTGCGCTTGTGATAGTTGATAGCTTCGAGACGTGAAGGTGTTTGGAGCTGAAGGATATGTGAGCAAAATGATATGTGAGAGGAATGAGGAGGAGCCTTCTAAGAATCCCCAAGCATTCAAAACCCCATGCTTCGTTTGTTGTGCGCAGACTTGCACATGTCTCTCGTAGTTTGTGAGAGTCTCTTCATAGTATGAAATGAGATCTGATTCAGGAAGGGTTAAGTAGAAGAGACAGAGACGTGAATGCTCATCTTGAATGGAAATTTGATCGAGATTTGACTAAAGAGAAGTGAGAATCTTACATGTGGACATGAAATTGTGCCCTCGACAACAACGATCACAGCTTCAAATCTCACGTAAAGGCTTCACTTTACGCTTTGAAGAAATGAGACCTGCGTGCATCTTCACATAACATGACCATATCCCAAATGAGTCAAACAAAAAGGAACCAGCATGTGAGGAGAGGCACTGGAATGCCGAAAGTCTCACCAGGCCGTAAGTTCAATGAGCCTCGTTCATTCATGACACTCTCACATCATCTCGTCAAAACGGGCATTATTCATCCATAAGAGACGTTTCACTCCACTCAGAGCAGAACTCATCAAGCATTTCGTCACGTTTGCCCAACTTTGAAAAGCACGGAATGAGATTGAGAACCTTTTAGAAGAGTCCAGTGTCGTTGTCCAGTCCCGTCTCATCTCAGCCGTCTGCGAATGAAACGAGAACTGCAGACCTAACAGAGGTATGAGAACGAGGTGTGTCCCGCTGGCAGCGGACTTTCCAACTCAATTCCGAAAGGGTTTCGAGAGGTTGAAGCGTGTCGAGGAGCTCGCTTGAATTTGCCATATGCAAGCCATCGTCGATGGCGGAGCCGGCGTCCGGGGCCGCGAAGTCGTTCTCTCGCGAGCTGCCGCCGCCGTCACCGTCTCATAAGTGTCCAGACGAATGACGCAAAGCGCGTCGCTCCGCGGACAGCCGTGAACCACGGAGAGCGGTTTCCGCGGCAGCGGCGGGAAGGGGCCCGAGAACCGGGCCGTCTACGCGACGGCAGTTTCGTAAGATGACGCAAGATGGGCGGTATGCTGCCCCGTCCTGCCGATGTGTGTCCTGTCTCGTGTGTTTTTTTCAGGTTTTCTGGCGGGCTGAAACGAAGCCTCGATGGCGGGAGCGAGCTGCTCGGATGAAGGTGGCGCAGAGAGGGCGAAGGCGAAGCCTCGGATGAACGTGTCGTCCACAAATACACACGAGGGTTGGGGTTTGTGTTCCCTTGTGGTCCATGCTCCGAATTTGTCATGTTCTTCGTTGACTGGGGTTCTCGTTCGTGACAGTCTTTTTCTTTCTGGTGTCGGCGCAGGTGTGACACAGGATTTTGGATTTTGTCGTTGGCTTGTTTGATGTGTTCGTATTAAGTATTAAGGATACTAGCGCTCTTGTGGGGCAGTTGTGCTAGACGTTTGATAGAGAAAGGTGAGGGCGTGCCTGGCTATAGCTGTTTCCCCGTGATCCGATGCTGGAGAGAGTCAGGGTATCGGGAGCCGTATATACGAACGAAGGGTTTGATGGTTTCCCGGATCCACCGTCGTCAGGAGACTGAGGCTTGGAAGCAGGTTGAAACAGCCCAAAAAGGCGCCTTCTGACTGGATTGTCTTGTCACGATGACAGCCTATTTGGAAGCGGCGCCTTTGCATGATGGAGCTATTGTAGCGAAAGTTCGTGTCGATACCGAGACTGTGGGATCCGATGTTGGGAGCTTGCGCTCTCGTTGAATTATGAAGGATGAGGCTGAGGGATCAGGGGAAGTGACGATGGCCGCTTTCCACGAGGTGAGAATGAGGAGACGCGAGGCGGGGACGGCGGCAGGATTGACATCCGGCGAGACCCATTGGGCCGGACTACATGTATTCCAGAATCATGAGGGAGATGGTGTCATCGTGGCTCGTCTCGGGGACATCGTTGACTGGTTGAGGCTCCATTATCTCGGTGTAAGGCAAAGTAGGGTTGATGGTTTCAATCAATCGTGAAACGAAAACAAGAGATAGAGAGAGAAAGAGAATGGAGACGGGCAAAGCACGCTGGTTTGCGAATAGAGCAAAAATGTCCCTAGGACGGGGAAAGAGAGAAGGGTGCTCGAGTTTGGAGTTTTCGACACGGTAAAGCTGACAAGGACGAGAAAGAAACAACACCACGGAAACGAAACTTTTGCCACCGAACGGGTTGTTATATACCCTCAGGCAAAAGGTCTTTGGGGGCCGGCCCGCAAGAAAGACAGTGCGACGAGACACACCGCGACCTGCATCCTCTGGAACATGCGTAGTCTTCCCCTGCTTTTTCTTCATTTTTCGCTGCGTGTAATGTGGTTCGGGAATGCGAGGTACGTGAGCCGCGCGCTGCTGTCTATGCTGTGACAGTCACAGCTCACAGCTCCCTCCATCTGCCTCTCTTGACAGAGGAGACGAGAAGCAGGGGGGAAGAAGCAAAGACGCAGAACCGGAAACACAAAATAACCCACCGAGGAAAAACGCACATACACGAGGTTCGTGACAAAAGTAAGCAAGCACCGCAGAGAGGTCCCGTTACGGAGGCTCTGGAATAGACTCGCTTGGGGGTGGGACGGGTACGCAGCGCTTGGAACGTGTTGAGGTTTGTGTGAAGCAAAAGAGAGAGGGAGGGAGAGGGAAGCAGTACGACGATAAGAGGGACCGTAAGACTTAGAACGCAGGACAGAACAAGGAAGATATCGGCCGTTTTTTACTTCCGACCTCTCTCATTAGTGATCTGAAGCGGCAACAAATAGGAATCCTTGTGAGTTGTCCGTCTTCTGCTGCGCGGACGCCTTCGTCGTCACATTACAGCTGATGCCGCGCGGCGGCGGGGCGGGTAATACGGTGAGGAGGGCACTCTTCGTATGGACCGCAGCGGCGGCGGCGGCGGATTGGTGTTCTAGAGGCTTTTTGTGTCTGCAAGACCGGGTGAGATGACGGTATCGTCGCCCGGAAGAAGAAGGGCCAGGCGCCCCCGTTCAATCAGGATTGGACCAGGAGGGATGGAAGGATTTTGTTAGTGCTGCTGCCGGGGAACGGCGGGAACGTGTGGCCTTTGCGGACCGGCGACGGCAGGATGCCTGCTTAGAGCCTCTCTATCTATCTTTCTCTCCCCAATGATAGGATTTCCCAGCTACGGAGGGGCTGACAAGTGGTAGTCCATGTTTGGAGGAGTTGATAGAAACGTTGGCTTCTGATCTCGTCTTCCCGTTTACTTTCTTTTTCCTTTCCCCATCTTCCTGCGTTCTTACGTGAAGTTCGTCGCCCGTCCAGCCGCCCGCACTCAACCAACCCGGCGGGATGGGACATGGACGTCCGCCCCGATGCACGGGAAACCTCTCTCTAGCCATCATGACATTCACGTCCCAAATGTCGTCGTAATCATCACTTTCTTGCTTTTAGTCCAAGCGGCGCGGTGCCTCTGCTGTGGTACGGGTGCATTTTACCACCAAAAGGCGGGACGAACGACGGGAAGACGGGATGCTAGCGGAACCCGTTGAGGAGCCCGTTGTGGGCGAAAAAAAAGATAGCAACAAAGTCCGTGGCTTCCCGGAGATACGGTGGGAGACACAAGGAGGAATTCGTTGGAAGACGCATGTTGGACGTGTTCACGGATGTGACAGGACTGGTTCACGGACAGAAAGCTAGAGGCTTGGAAGGGGGTGTGGGCAGAGGATTAGAGATGATCTGCTTTGTAAACATTGTTTCTTGGACGAGCCGAAGCTGGGTCACCAAAAAGACCAACAAACCAAAATTTCGGATGCTTTTTGGTCTTCTCTTGCCGCCTCTTGTTTTGTTGTTCGGTTTCGTTTCTAGTTCTGCTCTTACCACAAATCTGGGAAACAACAGGGGGTCTGACCGGGGAGGCAGCCAGCGCATCAGTCACTCGGAGAAGGAAGGCAAGTAAAGTTGAGTCCAACAAGCCAATCAATAGAATAGCCAACACGGGCAAGGGCAAACTTCAACTCTCCAGCCACTCAGAAGCCACAGGGAGGAAGAAAGAGTGCGTGAGACATGCGCGGGCACTTGTGTCAGAATATGTACGCCTCGGGAATGGCTGAGCGGCGCGCGCAAACGCAACCTCTTAGCGTTAAGTATGAAGAGGGGACGTTCACGAGGAACGGACGTGTGGGTCTTTTGCGGGAAAAAGCTCAACGACCATAGATGTCTCCCGGAGCCTACAATTGGGCATTCGGCCCCAAGGTTGAGCCGTCCGCAGTGAAGAGTCAGCCGTCCGCATCCCGCGCATCCTGTGAGACGGACATAGGACAGTCAAAAACAAGAGACGGCTTGCGTAAGTCACGGCACCAATGTTTCCAGCTGTCGAGGAAACGCAAGATGACGTTGACGAGATACGCTGACAGTCCTGGTTGGATGAAGTTTCGACTCATCCGTGGTGAAGGACTAGGAAAGTGGTAAGCAAACTGGAAGAGGTTCTCAGTGATTATTGTTAACGCAACTCTGGCATCAATCTTGAAATTGATTGCAAGGTTCCGGTGGACGATCCAAAGTTGGTTCCTCGCAGTCTCAATATCATTGACCCCGGGGAGATAAGACTCAAGACTTGGACAGGA